TACAGAGTGAGAGTGAAAATGCATTTTTGTAACAACATAAATAAACAAACCCTGTCTACAAAACCAAGTTCTTCTGTAAAGGCTGAATTCACTCCACTTGCTGACCACAATACATATATATACACTGCAGCTTGCAAGTGGTTTACCTGGGTTATGGCTGCATATCAGCCATAACCCCAGTATTTTGTTTTTATTGAAAGTGGTCTGAGCAGTTCATTAGCCACTGGATTGCTTTCAGTAACATGTCCCCCCCCCCGTTGCTCACTGGTGTTTCCTGGGCTTTCCGTTAAAATCAGCGCGCCTGAGAGATGATGCAGTGGTGTGGCTCGCTGGTCACAGGGGCGATGAGAGACTCTATCATCTCTGATCGTCTCTAAGGCCTTGGAGGACCGGAGCAATGTCTCTTCCAGTCCGGGGCGGATGTAAACATTTTTTTTTAAAAGCAAAAGATAATTTTTTTTTTACCTTTTTTTATAAAGGAGAGATTTGGGGTCTTTGTGACTCCAGATCTCTCCCTAAAGAGGACCTGTCATCCTTATTTCTATTACAAGGGATGTTTACATTCCTTGTAATAGGAATAAAAGTGATAAAAACATAAAGGGACAGTGTAAATATAAATAAGAAAAAACATATTTTGGAACGCCCCCCTCCCTCTATGCTCGCACGCAGAAGTGAACGCATACATAAGTCATGCATACATTTGTAAATGGTGTTCTCAGTTCTCTGCACACCAGTAAAAATGTTTAAAGCATCGCCTATGGAGGTTTTTAAGTACCATAGTTTGTGCGCAATTTTAAAGCGTGACATGTTAGGTATCTATTTACTCGCCGTAACATCCTCTTTTAGATTTTACAAAAAATTGGGGTGTGTATTGTGTTTTTTTTGTTTTTTTTTTAATTAATTAGTGTATTTTTTCCAAAGAAGTTGCGTTTGAAAAACCACTGAGAAAATACCATGCGACAAAGAAAAATTGCAACAATCACCAATTCATTCTCTATGGTCTTTGCTAAGGTAAATAAATAAGTGTGTGTGTGTGTATATATATATATATATATATATATATATATATATATATATATATATATATATATATATATATAAAATATTTGGGTGTTATAAGTAATTGTCAAGCAAAAATACTGATTTAAACTTGTAAATAAAATGTTCCAGTAAATGCTTGGTCTTCAAGTGGTTAAAGTGTTCACTGGAAAATAACGTTGAATAAGTGAATGATACCCTACAAACCTATAACAAAATATATTCCAAAATAAATTCATACAGCCAATACAGGTAAAACCAGGTCATGAGGAAATGCACAAATGATTAAATGTTTTCTAATTTTTGCATTTCCTCATGTCCTGGCTTTACTAGTGCTTGCACTGCAGGGAAGTAGTGTGAAGTGGTCCTCACTAAGGGGCTTTAACCTAGAAGCTTTAGGCTTCGATATAAATTATAGCTAAATGACCTTTAAGCTGGCTGTACACGAGTAGATCTTCATATGAACATTCATACAAATGTTCTCAGCAGGGGCGGACTGACAACTCATGGGGCCCCTGGGCAATAGGGGATCATGGGGCCCCTGTGTCCTTGCCCAAACTCAAAAAAGCCTATGAAAAAGGTACCAGGGGCATCTCATGGGGCCCCCTACTGACCCCCCGGCAATAGGGGATCATGGGGCCCCTGTGTCCTTGCCCAAATTCAAAAATGCCTATGAAAAAGGTACCAGGGGCATCTTTTGGGGCCTCCTACTGACCCCGGGCCCTCGGGCAGTGCCCGAGTTTCCAAATGGTCAGTCCGCCCCTGGTTCTCAGCATGTTCAATGACTGGATGAATGTCGTTCAAAAATACTTCAGATTTTATTTGCTCTCAAAGTGGACCTTCACTCTCTCAATTATCATGGACTATTTTGAATCCTTCTGTTGCTAGCCTTAGTAAATATATAGGAAAGTATATCACATTTACTTGTTTTAAACTTTCTTACATTTCTTCAGTTACTTCCTGGTTTCCATGCCTAGGCAAAGGACATCATACATCCTTGGAGTCTTCGGAAGGGAGGGTTCTCAGCTCAGCCTATGGGTGAGCTAAGGGCAGATGGATTCCAGGAAGTAAATCATCTGCTTTTACTCAAGATGGCCACAGCCAGAAATGCTAGGGGGGGTGTTTTTCAAAATGATTTCTCAGCAAAATAAAGCATGAAGACATGAATGGATGGGGGAGTTTGCTTTGAATATTAAAAATTAATTAAACTGTGTTTTCGGTTTGTGGTGCTCAGATGCAGTGTAGTTCAGCTTTTGAAGGAATGGGTTTCCCGAACAAAAACCACATTCATGGTTAGAAATGTGTTCTTTTGAGGAAAATTTTCCATCCTGCTCCCTCAAATTTTCTCATCACTATGATTGAAAATGATGTCAGTTTGACTTCTCCAATAATTAGAAAATCGATCGAACGCTCTCCGTTAGAAAAAAAATTCTAACAAAATTGTACTAGTGTATGGCCATCTATAGTTTTCTATAGCACTTTATATTATAAACAATTGATTTTTTTTTTAAATAAAATACTTTTTTGGACCTTCTTGTTAGTTTCTTATATTTCGGTGCTCCTGGAACCTCTGTGTAGCCAAGTCCTGCCTAATGCACTCCAGCTTTGGTCGTATGGCATCGCTCAGGGTGGATTTCCTGATTGGGACAACAGTAGACCATGTCGTCTTAATGTATGTTGAAGTGGCCATCCACTGGAAGCCCGTGTGACAGGTATGGAGCACTGTCTCCCTATAACAGGAAATGCCTGAACAAGGATTTTCATGGCAGGATCACCAGGGATTATTTCTAATAAAAGCTGCACATCTAAAAATATTGAAAACTTGTGGCTAAAATTCTGGTAATTTTATTGTGCATCAATTAGATAAAAATCTATAGAAAGAGAAAACTACATTTGAAATTAAATTACCATGTTAAAGCTTAAAATATTAACCATAAAAACAACATGTATTCTATTGTAGCTTACAAATTTCTTAGAAGTGGTGGCTTTTCTTTTCGGGGCTTTTGTTTCTTTTATTTTCACCTGGTGATCTGGCCAGTAAGTCTGCTATTTTTCAGCTTGCTTTAACAGATCAAATGGTCCAGGTAAAATAGCAATTAGAGGAATGAGAGACCAACCATTTACCACTGACAGGGGTGCTTACGATGAACATATATGTTGTTGTAACGGAGTATAACGTGTTAATTGGAACTTTAACCACTTGCCTGTCGGGCACTATCACCCCCTTCCTGCCCAGGCCAATTTTCAGCTTTCAGCACATTTGCACTTAGAATGACAAATGCGCGGTCATGCAACACTGTACCCATATGAACTTTTATAAATTTTTGAGACAAATAGAGAACTTTGAGCAGCACTTTTGTTTTTATTTTTTGCTAAACAAACTAAAAAAGACCGAAACTTTAAAAAAAAAAAAAAATTTTCTTGGCTTCTGTTATAAAATTTTGCAATTAAGTAATTTTTCTTCTTCATTGATGTGCGCTCATGAGGCTGATCTGATGGGCATTGATGAGGCTGATCTGATGGGCATTGATGAGGCAACACTGGTAACTGGCACTGATAAGCTGCACTGATTATCAGTGTAAACAATGTGTCCTGTCAGACCTGCCGTTATCGGCTCCCCTTTCCTCTCACAGAGACAGCATGTGAGGAAAGGAATGCCAATAACTGGCAAATCTGTTTACATGACCAGGTGTGATTGGACACAGCTGATTACATGATAAAGACTGGCTATGATTGGCCCTTTACCACGATCTGTGATCAGCTGTGTCCAAAGGACACATCGGTCTCGAAGTGTGCCCAATGTGTGTGGGAAGCACACATGCAGGAGGACGTCCATGGATGGAGAACTGGAGAGCCATGCTGTAGCTGTCTTTCAGCAATAGCATGGTAGGAATCTACTAATCTAACAACCCTCCCTCCCCAAACTGACAATGCTGCTGTCCAAGAGTGTCTCCATTGCTCCTGCATCCAGAGTAGAGACACCCTAAAGGAGGAAGTTTGTTACTAGTCAGGTAAAAATAAAGGGGGAAAAAAGCCTAAAAATAAGAAAACTTGTGTAGCCACCACATTACAGTATTTGTAAATTGTATTTTGTTTTAATACAGATCTAAATGAGATTTTAGTAATTTGGCTCACCTATACTTAAAATTCTAATATATTTAAAATTTAATTCTAATTTAAACTGAATATTTTTACTTTAATTGTACAAAAAACAGTTGAAAGCCCCATTAGGTTTGTATGCCGGTGACGGTAAATACTGTTTAGCATGGTTCAATTGCTGTCTGCATCCTTATCTTGCTTCCTGTCCTTGTATGTTAAAGCCCCACACCAGGCAGCAGAAAAAATGACCCTCGCAGAGTCTTGGTGTTCAGATTTAGTGGAGACATAGACAGCAATAAATCTGCTGGAGATTCTGTCCTCTCCCACTCTATCCATTATATTCACTATATCCGCTCTCCCTGGACCCTGCATTCACTGTATTCGCTCTCCCCGAACCCTGCATTCACTATATCCGCTCTCCCCGAACCCTGCATTCACTATATCCGCTCTCCCCGAACCCTGCATTCACTATATCCGCTCTCCCCGAACCCTGCATTCACTGTATCCGCTCTCCCCGAACCCTGCATTCACTGTATCCGGTCTCCCCGGACCCTGCATTCACTGTATTCGCTCTCCCCGGACCCCGCATTCACTATATCCGGTCTCCCCGGACCCTGCATTCACTATATCTGGTCTCCCCGGACCCTGCATTCACTGTATCTGGTCTCCCCGGACCCTGCATTCACTATATCCGGTCTCCACGGACCCTGCATTCACTATATCCGGTCTACCCGGACCCTGCATTCACTATATCCGGTCTCCACGGACCCTGCATTCACTGTATCTGGTCTCCCCGGACCCTGCATTCACTGTATCTGGTCTCCCCGGACCCTGCATTCACTATATCTGGTCTCCCCGGACCCTGCATTCACTATATCCGGTCTCCCCGGACCCTGCATTCACTATATCCGGTCTCCCCGGACCCTGCATTCACTGTATCTGGTCTCCCCGGACCCTGCATTCACTATATCCGGTCTCCACGGACCCTGCATTCACTATATCCGGTCTCCACGGACCCTGCATTCCCTATATCCGGTCTCCACGGACCCTGCATTCACTATATCTGGTCTACCTGGACCCCGCATTCACTATATCCGGTCTCCACGGACCCTGCATTCACTATATCCGGTCCCACGGACCCTGCATTCACTATAACTGGTCTTCCCAGACCCTGCATTCACTATATCCGGTCTCCCGGACCCTGCATTCACTATATCCGCTCTACCAGGACCCTGCATTCACTATATCCGGTCTCCCGGACCCTGCATTCACTATATCCGGTCTCCCGGACCCTGCATTCACTATATCCGGTCTCCCGGACCCTGCATTCACTATATCCGGTCTCCCGGGACCCTGCATTCACTATATCCGGTCTCCCGGACCCTGCATTCACTATATCCGCTCTCCCCGGACCCTGCATTCACTATATCCGCTCTCCCCGGACCCTGCATTCACTATATCCGCTCTCCCCGGACCCTGCATTCACTATATCCGCTCTCCCCGGACCCTGCATTCACTATATCCCCTCTCCCCGGACCCTGCATTCACTATATCCGCTCTCCCCGGACCCTGCATTCACTATATCCGCTCTACCCGGACCCTGCATTCACTATATCCGCTCTACCCGGACCATGCATTCACTGTATCCGCTCTCCCCGGACCCTGCATTCACTATATCTGGTCTTCCCGGACCCTGCATTCACTATATCTGGTCTTCCCGGACCCTGCATTCACTATATCTGGTCTTCCTGGACCCTGCATTCACTATATCTGGTCTTCCTGGACCCTGCATTCACTATATCTGGTCTTCCTGGACCCTGCATTCACTATATCTGGTCTTCCTGGACCCTGCATTCACTATATCTGGTCTCCCCAGACCTTTAATTTACTATATCTGATCTCCCACAGTACACACAACATGGAAATGCAATTATTTTTGTAAATATAAACTGCTAAATACCTTTTCTCATCACCAGTTAGAGTCCTGTGACTTCTATCAGTGTCCAGCAGAGCACATGCTAAAGCTTGTAGGAGGAGTTTTCATTTTTCTCTAGGAGGATGCGGAACCCCATGTCCTCTATCTGGACAGTACTGATTGGCCCTGTGCTGATCATGTGCCCTCTCCCAAGGAAAAAAAAAACCTCTCTAGCAATACACACTAAACTGAGCATGTGCACAGTGACTCCACACAATATGTCTTATCAGGAGATAAGAGGGGGACATTGGAAGAAGGGGAGGATCAGAGAAGTAAGGATCAAACAGCATTTTTACACAATGCAAAGGACCCTTAGGTTGCACAGTGAGTATAACAAGCATGCTTTGCTGCATATACAGACTGATTTTACTGTTGTGGGTTTAGTAACACTTTTTGTAGTCACTACAATATATTGTTTTTTTTTTTTTTAGTGAAAGCATGTTCTGTGTTTGTTTCCTGCACCACAGATGCATGTGTTGCCCATGCAATCTGAATGGGGGTGCCATGGTATTGTAATTGCACTCCATGCAGATTGCAAATGAAACGTGTTTGCAGGCCCCAGGCAGCATTGTAGCATGTGGTTTGATGCGGTGCATTTTGAAACCGTATTGCTTGCACTACTTTTGCAGGTGTTCCAGTGTGATTTAGAACTGAATGGGCTGTCAAAATTGCTCCGCTTGGGAATCCCTGAGATCGTATGGGAACACACACTTTTCGGTGGGAACCGACTCTGAAGGCTTCTCCAAAGCATGCATTAGAAAGCAAAGGTGTTTTTCTCCCATGTTGCCTTCAAAGTCACATAAAGTCTCCCTGCTGAATATTATTTTGAAAAAATTTGTATTTGAATGGGTTTATACCCCCCATAGCAGTTCCCCTTTCCCCAGACCATGTGTTTGACATTCTCTTGCCTATTAGCCTTGGAAATGGCCAGAATTGATTTTCAAGATTCCCTCTCCCCCCATTGACTTCAGTGGGGTTCAGATTAAAGGTCGCCATTTACAAATGCCACTATGGGTTTGACAAACTGCCTGCGAATTCAAATTAAACCCAGGCCGATCTACTCATTCCTAGTCATGACCAGTGTTGTAAAGGGAGACAGGCAAAAGTAGAAGAGACCTGCTGGTATACGGTGATTTACTTTTCTTTATATTTTTGTATTTGATGACACCTCTGGTGTTTGTGAACATTCAGCATGTTCTATAATTTGTCATCTAAATGAACATTTCTAGGTGCCCCCTCCCAGGTGTGTTTTTTTCATGACATAACCTAGATAGGAACCCATCACCTGCTCTGTATTCATGCCCCACTTTTATAATTCGGCCACCATGAGGAATGAGCTCAGACAGGCAATGCTTTGCTGTTATCTAGAAAGTGACAGCTGAGGACACATACCCTATATTTGGAAGATTTAGGGAGAATTGGAGATACAGGGATTTCAGGGGATTTGTGGAATAGCTAACAAACTGTTGTACCATTGGCCAATCTGTAGAAAGTTTGGGGGTAAACTTTTATTGTTTTACAAGTATAATTTTCTGTAGCTTTTATATCTTTGAGTGCTGTCCTATAGCTCCCCCTGCCTGTCATCTGGAGGTAACGGCAGCACCATCACTGTGCTGCAGAAAGGTACTTCATGTGTGGGATCAGCTTGTGTGTGTATGTGTATATGTGTGTGTATATGTATGTATAATATCAGTAGTAAGCTATAAATCTCCGTAGTATGAGTATTGCACCATGATAGTCATTGATTGGAGTTTAAGTTATACCGTTTAAAGGCTAACTTCAGCTATTAAAGCTGCAAGCTAAGCTTTTGGGACAACTTCTTCAGGCTTTTTATACTTTTTTTTCTTTGAAGAGATCCACTATATATTGAAAGCTTTCATCTTTAAAAACATAAGTTAGCCAATAAAGGTTATCACTTAAACTCCAGAGTTTGTACTTAATTATTGAAGGAGTCTCCAAACTTTCTAAAGAAAGGGCCAGTTTACTGTCTTTCAGGCTTTAGGGGGACCATACTGTCCTAGAAAATGTCCTAGTGTGAGAGCAAATAACACCTTGCCAGTGGTGTCAGTGGGAGAAATTTTTGTCCAATCATTGCTGTCAGTTGGAGAATTATGCCCCATTGTTGGTGTCAGTGGGAGGAATAGTGCCCCATTGTTTGTGTCAGTGGGGGAAATATGCCCCATTGTTGGTGTCAGTGGGAGGAATAGTACCCACATTGTTTTGTGTCAGTAGATGGCATAGTGAGTGGAAAAATGCCCCATAATTGGTGTCAGTGGGAGGAATAGTTACTTGTATCGTTGGTGTCATTGGCAGTAATTATGGCCAATTGTTGATGTCAGTGGGAGGAATAGTTCTTTGTATTAGTGGGAGAAATAGTGCTCCATGGGCCGGATAAAGTTAAGCAAGGGGTTACATCTGGCCCCCGGGCCGCAGTTTGGAGATGACTGAATTAACGGCTACCACTGTACAATGTTCCTATTACTGATATACTGTATAAAATGTAGTATGTGTATATATAATTATTATTTTTGCAATAAAACCCTCCAGTTTCCTGTTAAAGTCTGCACATCGGAATAGCTTTTTCATTACAATCTTCCCTTTTCCATATAACGTTTTCATGAATTTTATTGCCTACATTCAGCCTGAGAGTAGAATGATTTGGTGCCTATGATAGATTGCTTCTTATCACCAAGTTCTTCCATCACCTCATTCTGATAGAATAGAGGACTTTCAATATTTACACAGCGAAGTAGTTGACTACATTTACATTGCTGTAGAAGTCGGTGAACAGGTAAAGTAGCGGTGTGTGCACTGTAAGACCACATTGGATAAGTTGCACAGGAGGTGTTCACAGATATCAGTGGGGGGCAGCAATGGATTTTAGGAAGGGCACATATTGACTACTTGGCAGATTCTGCTTGTCTGTGCCAGTCATAGAGCACCCATGGACATAGAATGGGTGTTGATCCTTGTGTCTCTTGGTAGTGGCAGATAACCTTGTTTGGGGGGGACTAGTAGTTGGGATTTGTTTGCATCTATTTGCTGCCATTTTCCTAGTGATAAGGCCAGTGGTGAGAATGTCTGGAGAACATGGGAAAGGCCGGTGCTCAGAATGTCTGGAGAACATGGGAAAGGCCGGTGCTGAGAATGTCTGGACAACATGGGAAAGGCCGGTGCTGAGAATGTCTGGACAACATGGGAAAGGCCGGTGCTGAGAATGTCTGGACAACATGGGAAAGGCCGGTGCTGAGAATGTCTGGACAACATGGGAAAGGCCGGTGCTGAGAATGTCTGGACAACATGGGAAAGGCCGGTGCTGAGAATGTCTGGACAACATGGGAAAGGCCGGTGCTGAGAATGTCTGGACAACATGGGAAAGGCCGGTGCTGAGAATGTCTGGACAACATGGGAAAGGCCGGTGCTGAGAATGTCTGGACAACATGGGAAAGGCCGGTGCTGAGAATGTCTGGACAACATGGGAAAGGCCGGTGCTGAGAATGTCTGGACAACATGGGAAAGGCCGGTGCTGAGAATGTCTGGACAACATGGGAAAGGCCGGTGCTGAGAATGTCTGGACAACATGGGAAGGGCCGGTGCTGAGAATGTCTGGACAACATGGGAATGTCCGACATAGAAGTGTGAAGGCATATGAGCTTTCCTTCCTTTACTGATGAGTGTAGGTCAGTTGTGTTTCCTTGTTCATCTGCTGGAGTTCTGACTTACATATGATGTGTGAGTAGGTGATGACACCGATGTGACTGAGCACAGATTCCACAAAGCTGTTTGTGCAGTAGTTTTCCACCTGGCCAGGTGAGGATTCTGGGCGGGGAAGCAGGGGAGGAGCTGCAGGTATCTCGGAGCTAGAAATAGGACCAGCAGACTGATGGCCAGGCACAGGGCTTTTGAAAGCTTTCTTGTCCTGTCTAAAGATGTCAAGGTGTGGAGAAGACTACAGCTAACATTGGCTCCTCGTTGGGACAGCCTCAACCTCTAAAGCTTTTGCATCCAGAAGATCCTGTGGGCACATCCCTTTACTGGTTTAGCTTTTTTTTTCCCTCCTGCAGTCTTTGTGTTTTTTTTTTATCCAGAGCAGCAGATTTCTGCCACCTATAACTGTAAAGAATGGGTAGCAAGGTACGTTATAACCCAACTTACAAAACTAGAGCCTCATGTTATTCTGCCATGTCCTTTCTGTTATTGTCAATGCAATCAATTCAGAAAAATCTCCTCTAAAGGCCAAGAAAATGTATTCATGTACGTTCCAAATTCTGTCTTTGGGGACGATCAGTTTTCAATCTGTGTAAAATAACCCCGCACGCATCTTCTTTTTATGACTGATGTAGCTAGCAGAATATAGGCATCAGGCAGTGCAGCACATCTATTATTTATTTAGGTGATTTAATTTCTAAGCGCTGCACTTTATTATTGTATATATATGTTTGGTATCAACAAACTATTATGTCAGCTGATTTATTAGCTTTGATGATAGGTAACCCAGGTACAGAATTTCGGTCTGGTTGTAGCTTTGCACATCTAGTTAGCTTGTATTAACACTGGTACAGTTTATACTATCATTGTTATACTGTGAATGCAGGTTTTATCTGTAATGTACCCAGGGACACGGCCACACTGCCTCTCCTTAGCTGGTAATGCAGCGGATTTCAGTGGACTTAGGGCTCGTTCACACTAGGCTGTTTTGCCAACGCTTGCCAAACGCCCCTATAGCGTTTGGCAAGCGTTGGTCCGGCATTTGCGGAGCGTTTTTTAACGCTCGGCAAACGCTCCGCAAACGCCGCATGCGCAGTTTAGCGGCGGTTGCTAGGCGTTTGCCGAGCGTTAATAACGCCCCACAAACGCCTATAATGCAGTTTGAGTGGTGTTACCGCTCCGCAAACGCCCCGCAACCGCGTCGCAACCGCACCACAAACGCCGGCCGGGCGTTTGCGGAGCGGCACCATAGACGAGAATAGGAGGCTTCAAAGCCTCCTGACTCGTCCAGAGGCGTCCGTTTTGCCGCGACGCAACGCGACGCAAACGCTCCCGTTAGAACAGCACCATGTGCTGTAATGTGCAGAATTGGCAGAGGCGTTTGGGAAGCGGTAAAAACGCTTACCAAACGCCTCTCTGCCGCCTGCACACAAGGCTAGTGTGAACGTAGCCTAACTGTGCATTGTATAGCAAGGCTACATAGATTGTGTTATATATAAAGGCAGTAAAAGGGTTTTTTTCCAGCCGTGATACAGTAATAATTAAGAAATATGCCCATGCAGTACAGTTTTTGTTTTTTAGTTTATATTTGAAAATAAAATATTGCTATTCTAAAGTAAATCACGCTTTAGTTTTTGTTGCAGATTATTTCCTAACCCCCCTGACTTGTTATTATTTAGATGTATAGGGCAGCACAATGGCTAACTGGTTAGCACTTCTGCCTGCCAGTACTAGGGTTGTCAGTTTGAATCCCAACCACAGCACTACCTGCTTGGGGTTTGCATGTTCTCCCCTGTGCCTGTGTGGGTTTCCTCCGGGTACTCCGGTTTCCTGCCACACTCCAAAGACATGCTGGTAGGTAATTGGCTCCTGTCTAGTATGTGTATGAATGTGAGTTAGGGACTTTACATTGTACGCTACTTGAGGGTTAGGGACTGATGTGAATGTGCAATATAAAATAAAGTAAAGCGCTGCGTACATTTTCGGCGTTCTATAAGTACCTGTAATAAATGTATGTGTAAGAAAGCCAGTATAACAATCTGGAACTATTGCTAGGTTGTGCTTTGATCTGTCTGGTGTGATCAGAGGACCTGACCTGTCTGTGGAGACCATAGTACCCGTCCGGACTACAGAGCAGCTGTCTCATCCGCAACCAGTGGCGCTTTATTGATGTGCTAACATCGCTGTCAGTGCAGTCATTTTCCTTCTACTTTTTATTTTGCAGGAAAACTCTGATATGTACACTGTGGAGATTAATGACACAAAGAATGCAGACTTACCAGAAAAGGTGAATGCAGAAGACGATCACAACAATTTAAAGAACAAAAAGAAGAAGAAGAAGAAGGGGAAGGGCAAAAAGGTTGATGATCTTAAGCAGGAACTGGATTTGGTGAGGAATTCTGAGGTTTTTTTTTATTTGCTACAATCCGCTTACATTCTCAAAGCCCTTGTACTACATATTATGTTTTTATTTTTAAATTCTAGTAGAAAACACTTAGCGTGTGTGTGAAGGCTAAAACTTTCTGTAGATGACTAAAACTGAAGGTAGATGTCAAGTTTGGTTGTTTCATAACATAACTCTCGGGGTCCTGTCTTTACCTTCCAGATGTGTGTGTGTTTCTCTGACATACATAGGGGTTATTTAGTAAAAGAGTGCAAAATCTGGTGCAGCTGTGCTTAGAAACCAATCAGTTTCCAGGTTTTATTGTCAAAGCTTAATTGAACAAGCTGAAGTTAGAAGCTGATTGGCTGCCATGCACAGCTGAACCAGATTCTGAGTGCTCCAGTTTTAGTAAATCAACCCTTGGAAGAGGACTTGGGATAGCATAGGCATCCAGTAGAGGCAAACTATAAGCATCCTTAATAAGTACTACTCCATATTAGAAGAACATGCCATCAACCAATACTATTTCTAATGTATAATACAAAGCACAAAAGACAGGAAACATTACAGCATAGCGTTTGTGCTTTCCAATGGGAATAAAGATATGCATTGTGTAAGCAAATGTGTGAATTAACATACAGAATGATTTTATCTCTCATCCTAATATCAGTTACATGTGTATACAGCTCATATCTTGGCACTAGGAGGTGTAAAGCCTTCTACTTGACGTAAGCATATATTAGTCAAATGAGGATTTCCCTTTATAATTCCCAGTGCTGTGATTGCATCTAATAGCAGATCCTTTCCTCATGATCTTATCACAACCAGTGTCACAGGCTTTGTGCTCTAGGAAAGGTTCCTGCTGCACTGTGAAGACACACAAGGATCAACACCCATTCTATGTCCATGGGTGCTCTATGACTGGCACAGACAAGCAGAAATTGCCAAGTAGTCAATATGTGCCCTTCCTAAAATCCATTGCTGCCCCCCACTGATATCTGTGAACACCTCCTGTGCAACTTATCCAATGTGGTCTTACAGTGCACACATGGCTACTTTACCTGTTCACCGACTTCTATAGCAATGTAAATGTAGTCAAACACTTCACTGTGTAAATATTGAAAGTCCTCTATTCTCCTATCAGAATGAGGTGATGGAAGAACTTGGTGATAAGAAGCAATCTATCATAGGCACCAAATCATTCTACTCTCAGGCTGAATGCAGGCAATACCTCAGCACAGCAATTTCAGCTATGCTTTTCAGTAAGTGATGAGGTATGTCTGAGTGGTACTCTTACACAACCAGCCTGTTTACATTAGTGGGCGTTAAGTGGCCCCACGATTCAAAGACTCCATTCTCTCTCTGTTAAAGTGGCTGCTATGAAGTATTTTCTTTAAATTCAATATTGAAGAAATTGGCAGAATTGGCAGTTGTTTACCTTTTTGTCACTGAGATACTATACATTGCCCAGATGATTTTATTCCTTACCATTTTGCTGTGGATTAATGTGAATCTATCGCATTTGGTGCAAGATTCCAGTACTATAAATCTGATTGAAACAATGATGAATTTACTTATGTTCATACTGCTTTGTCGAGTGACCAGCAGAGTAGTGGTGGGAGCTTCAGAATGGCTGTATCTAGAAGGGAATTTTGTATTGCTTGGTACTGTAGTAATTGTTTAATCATTACAGACATCTTATTTTAACGCGGGGTTTCTCAACCAGGGTTCCTCCAGAGGTCGCTAGGGGTTAATTGAGCGATGAGCAATTTCTGCCTCTCAGATAAGTTCCCATTGATACAAATGATCTATTTAGCTATCTGTAAGGGGGGAATTGCTCCCAATGACCACAAGTGTAAGGGCATTCTTCCCACTGAGCATCACACTGATGCATCATGTGTTGTAGATGTAGTCATTTTAGCAGGGTTCCCTGAGACTGGGAAGATATTTAAAGGGTTCCTTTTGTGTTGAAAAGATTTAGAAAGGGTGCTTTAACTCATTGGTGAACTTCTACTTGCCTGCATTCCCTTCTGCAGGTAACAAATTTCCATTAACATTTCCTGTCACCAAATTAAATTTTTACACCATTTTTGAGATGCAGTGCTGAGTACTGACTTCCAGTCTTTTTCCAGTCTGCTTATTTTCTACAAAATATCAACAAAACATTTCAGGTTTTTCTGTTAAAAGGGATGCCTGTTGTTGTCATTTAGTTCTCATTTTATTGCATTATTGTTTTTTCAGGATGATCATAAACTTGCTATTGAAGATCTGGAAACAAAACATGGAACAAGTCTTCTCAAAGTGAGTAGCAGAATAACTTTTATACTCCAAGGGTCATAACTCGCCATAAAAGTTAACAAGTTGGCTAGATACCAGTATGTGTCAAGTTCCTTCATGTTGTGCCCTATGGAGACATGTACCTGCTACGTGCCTCATCGATGCTCTGAACTCTACCTCTTTCAAGATAAAATCAAGCATATGTAACCCCCATGACCTGAAATGTTCCCTCCACACCAGATATGGTGATGGTTAATCAGCACTTGGCACTGTGCTGGGAATTCTTTAGCCTGGTCACTCATATCAGACACAGGATTATGTAGAGAGGGATGGAGTAGGCCAGCGCTCTACAGATGGCTATCACCGAGTACACACTGTTCAGAGTGGGAGGTGCAGACACATAGCCGGTCCCCATTAACAGAACTGGTTATGCAGAGTTCTAGGCTGCTCCTGCCTGTTTCTCTGCTCTATCTTAATAGATCAGGGTTAGCGCCTGGTTGTTTGACATATGCACAGGGAAAGCCATCAAGTCCATTAACCATTTTTCAATTAAGGTAGTGTAATCAAATTACTTTTCATACTGATTTACCACAGCTAAAGGGTGTAATGAGACGTGTGGTGGAAATGCCTTTTCTGAAAGCTTGATGGATGGCATGGGACAGTATTTGTCACCGGTGTGGCAGCGTTTAGTTGTGGCCCAAAGAATAGCAGATGAGGCCCTGGAATGGGGCCTGCAGAACTGTAGTCATATTTCACAGTGGAATCAGGTTTAAGTGTTTGACTTAGTTTACAAAACACCAGGCAGGTGCAACAATTATATTTTAACTTTGAATGTGTCTAGAGTTGCCCTTTAAGAAGCATATATTTTTCTAACTGGCTTGTCAGTTTATGCAGTTCTCTACTGTCCCTGTGTTCCTTTACATAAACCCAGATAGATGCTGGATTTCCTAGCAGGGCTTTCTTTAAATGATATATGTTGGAAATGACAGTTGCTCAGTCCTGTGTTTGTCCTCGTAGGGTCTTTCTAATGCAAAAGCTGCAGAGGTTCTGGTTCGTGATGGTCCCAACGCACTCACTCCTCCAAAGGGAACTCCTGAAATCATCAAGTTTATGAAGCAGATGATTGGAGGTTTCTCTCTTTTACTATGGGCAGGGGCATTTCTCTGCTGGATCGCATATGGGGTTCAGGTCGCTCAAGATCCCACGGCACTCAAAGACAATGTAAGCATCATGCAGTATTGCAGTTATGAGGAGAGTAAGCCAGAACTTACACATATAATTATTCATTTTATTGCTGCTGGCCTATAGAATTTTAAAGATTTGACATGCAATTTATGACTAATGTTCTCTTTTGCCACAGTTGTACCTGGGCATCGTGTTGGCTGTGGTTGTCATCCTCACTGGTTGTTTTGCCTATTACCAAGAATCTAAAAGCACCAACATCATGGCCAGTTTCAATAAGATGATCCCACAGGTGAGTAAAATGGCAGCTATCTGAGAATCACAAGCTATTTTATATTTGAGTGGTAAAGTTGCTCTGCAGTAATATAGAGCATGCACAATATGGCTGCTGTCTTGATGGATGAATGTTGTTGTACTGTGTGAACTGTGCACTGGATTTACAAAAAGGTGAATCACCTACAGACCTGCAATAGAATATAAAGAAAAAAGTATATTCACATCCTGGAAGTTAAACAACTTCTTCCATCCCCTGGTGCTGTGTGTAGTCAACTGAGACTTGTTTTCATGGTCTGTGAGCCAATCAGAATGCACCAGCTTGAATGATCGCTGTTTCAACCGTTATTCAGTGTAACAGCATAAACCTGATAAAAAGTTTCTGCTGCTGTGGCCTTCTCAATGCAGATTACATGATCTGACTAACTTAAGTTGCAAAAAAAATAATTTTTGTATTTTTGTTTTTTATCCATGTTATAGCTCCATTAGAACACAAACATTTTATGCATTTTTAGTCTCTGCTGACCTTTTTATCATGTAGAATTGTGTTTATCATTAGTTCTCCTGTGCTTCTGTTCTCAATAAGGTGTTTTGGTGAATTCTAATATTTGTATGTAATATTTGCAGCAAGCGTGTGTTACCCGAGAAGGAGAGAAACTGGAGATCCCGGCCACTGAGCTTGTAGTAGGAGATTTAGTGGACATCAAAGGAGGAGATCGAATACCAGCGGACCTTAGGCTTATCTTTGCCCAGGGCTGCAAGGTAATTTTCTTCCAAAGCGTTAACCAAATGCATCTGTGTCCAGATTATGAACTTTAAATTATTTCTAGATTCTTAACAAACCATAGGAGTCTTATAAAAGCCACCCTGACCTCTCTAACTGTATATACTGTGAAGTAATGTGTCATCAAATATCACAGCAGAGACTCTAAGGTCTCAATGATAAGGATGCTGAGCCATGTATGGCATAAATGAGGCTGTGGCTTCGGCCACATAAACAACCGCCTCATCCAAGCTGTAGGGGGTCTTGCCACTCTTTTCATGAGGCCTTAGAATTGGGTTTCAGTGGGTTTCTAATAGCTTCAGAACTCCTGCCCAGTGTTTACCTTAGAAGGCTGCCACCATCTGCTAACCACCGAGTTGGGATTTTAGTGTCTCTGTTATGGACTTTAAAGAAAATGTTATTATGTCTATAGCTTCAGAAGTGAATGAGAGCTTGTTTTAAAAGGATTTTAATGCTTGTTTTGAATTTGTAAATTCAGTTTAACAGTAAAAATGTTATAGCTGACCTCATTTGTCAATGTGAACTCAAACCGGACGGGTCAGTAAATTTCTGCTGCATGTTTGGTCTCAGGTGGACAATTCCTCCCTGACAGGGGAGTCAGAACCCCAGAGTCGATCTACTGAATACACACATGAGAATCCTCTAGAGACGAAGAACATTGCCTTCTACTCCACCACCTGCCTGGAAGGTAATGACTAGCCCTGAGGCTGTATGTAAAACAGTGTTAAGAGACCTGACACCAATCGGTCTGGAGAAAATGATTGAGGAATCTTTAGAATCTCGAGCATCTTGCTGACATTTCAGCAGTATTCTGAAGATCCCTACGTAAAAAAAAAAAAAAATGTTTACACAAATAGGAGTGTTTTAGGTGGATTTGACACTAATCTTTCATATCTAGACCTTCCCTGGCAGGGTTTGTGTGGATTGGGCACTATCTTACATATGTAGACACTCCCTGGCCAGTTGCTAGTGGATTGGGCACCAGTCTTACATATCTAGACCTTCCCTAGCCAGTTTTGTGTGGATTGGGAACTAGTGTTACATATGTAGGACCTTCCCTGGCCAGTTTCTGGTGGTTGGGCACCAATCTTGCATATCTAGACCTTTCCTGGGCATTTTATGTGGATTGAGCACTAGTCTTAAATATGTAGAGTGTCCCTGGCCAGTTCCTGGTGGGTTGGTGACTTGTAGACCCTTCCTGGCATCCTCAGGCCAAACACTTCTGAAGATGGAGCAGACAGTTGGGATTGAGCCTGATGGTTGATCCCTGTTTTCCCCATAAGCCAGTGCTCATTGCCCCTCTTTGTGTTCAGTGGCCAGATTTTGCATGCATGGATAACCACCATGTAATGTATGTAGATATCATTGCAAAGTATTTTTTTTTTTTCAGGCACAGCAAAAGGTATTGTGATAAATACTGGAGATCGTACAATTATTGGCCGGATTGCTTCATTGGCATCAGGAGTTGGAAATGAGAAAACCCCCATTGCTGTGGAGATTGAACACTTTGTTCATATTGTGGCGGGATTTGCCGTGTCTGTTGGTGTTATATTCTTCATCATTGCAATGTGTATGGGATACTCTATTCTGAATTCCATCATTTTTCTTACTGGGATCATTGTCGCCAACGTGCCTGAGGGTCTCCTGGCCACTGTGACCGTAAGTAGCCGTACTCCTGTCTAGGAGGGATTTGTGTGTGTGCATGTGTGTTTATATATCCGCACCCCCTCTTACATCTTGGTCCCCATCAGAATTTCTCCCTTACAGTTCACTAAAGTGTGGCTGTAGTAACGGGATAGGAGCCGGGAAATGATGTAGCTTGCATTGCTGAAAGTTGCATCGACCTGTGAATGCTGAAGCAAGCATGTGATTGGTTGGTAGGGTATCGGTGGTTCTAGCAACCATCGACAGGGATGATGAAAGCACAGTGAGGAACCTGTACTGGTTACAGGAAAGGGGATTAGAAGACCTGAAGTGAGACCTGTGTGAGAGCACAGTAGGCCCACATTGGGGATACACCACTCACCCTAGATGTGGGCCAAATTAAATCTTGTAGTGGACCAGATTTAGCCCACAGGCTCTAGTTTGGAGTCCCCTGCTCTAGTTTGGAGTCCCTGCTCTAGTTTGGAGTCCCCTGCTCTAGTTTGGAGTCCCCTGCTCTAGTTTGGAGTCCCCTGCTCTAGTTTGGAGTCCCCTGCTCTAGTTTGGAGTCCCCTGCTCTAGTTTGGAGTCCCCTGCTCTAGTTTGGAGTCCCCTGCTCTAGTTTGGAGTCCCCTGCTCTAGTTTGGAGTCCCCTGCTCTAGTTTGGAGTCCCCTGCTCTAGTTTGGAGTCCCCTGCTCTAGTTTAATCCTTAGGGTTAACTGTTAGTGAAATCTGCAAGTCATGGGAATCATCAGTTCTTTATCTGCCATTGATGTTTCTTAATATGAACTGAACAGACAATGATGGATTCCAGTGCATTGATCCTAAGACTAGGTTCACACTGTTCTGATATTGATACAACTTTCAGTGCGATTATGTAGTGTTACTTGGATGCTACTTTGAAGTGCTTTGCATATTCTATGAGGCCATAATGACTCTGTAAATCGCAGAAATGGAGTACAGGAACCTTTTCCAAAATTGCTACATGCCAAGTTGCATAGATGTGAACGGGCACCATTAAAAAAACATGTGATTTCCATTATCATGTGATTTTGTGCGACTCGAGTCTCATCTGAAATCGCACTAGAGTGAATAGAGCCTAAATAATAGATTTCCCCTAAAGTTGTGCAATTATTTTTAACTGATGATATTACATTTTAGACTTCAGAGCTTCATTCTGGGCAGAGATTTAAGAAATACTCTTTGTCTCTCAGGTAACGCTGTCTCTGACAGCAAAGCGCATGGCAAAGAAGAATTGTCTGGTGAAGAATCTTGAAGCTGTAGAGACTCTGGGCTCCACTTCTATCATCTGCTCTGATAAAACAGGAACCCTGACACAGAACAGAATGACTGTAGCTCACCTCTGGTTTGACGACCACATCCACTCAGCTGACACGAGTGAAACCCAAACACGTATGTGTGAATTCCATTTCCAATAACACATTTTTGTTTTATTATTTTTGCCTTCCTTTTGTAATCTGTCTTAGAAAAGATGACAGTTGCCACATACAGGACCAATATGGTCTTTAATAAATAAAAATATACAGCACTAAATGATCCCCACAACTAGTGAATCTAAATAATTCTCATTTCATATATCATTATATCAATTGTATAAATAATAATATGGTCTTTTTGTATATATAGATCATTCATTTGAACAGACATCCGAAACCTGGAAAGCATTATGTAGGATCGTCAGTCTTTGTAACCGGGCTGAGTTCAGGGCTGGACAAGATGATGTACCCATTATGAAGGTATATATGGTGTTCACTGTTCTCTCTAATCTTAATCCCTTCACGCCTAAGGGTAAAACAAATCTAAATGCCTAAGCACAATTCTGCAACGTTGACGTGTTAGTAAAACCGTACATATCGTCACAACTACTTTGTACATCCAGGTGGATTATACCTTGTTTTTTCAGGACAAATTGGGCTTTCATTTGGTGGCAAATGGTCATGGATAGCTCCTAATTTTTTTTTATTATTAAAGGAAAACTGGGCCAAAATGGTAAAAAAAAAATCATTTTTTTTTTAGATTTAACTGTGTGTTTCTTGTTACGACCATAACCTACCACCAAAGAACAACCCAAAATACATTCTCCAGTTCTTGACGATCGCAGCGATGCCATATATGTGTATGTTATTTGTTGTTTGTACCCGTAGTACAGTCCAGAAACAACAGTGCGCATTTTGTTTTTGTCTTTTTTTTTTTTTTTTTTACATAAAACACACTGACACTGACATTGACATTAACACTAACTGACACTGATACCAATTTTTTTTTTAAATCCAGACCTTTGACCCTGACCTTTGCCCTTGACCCAAACACTAACCCTGGTACTGAACTAGATCAAACCTTGATCTGGGTATTTTTCTTTATTTTTTCTTTTATTTTTTAATATTTATTTATCTTTTTTTTTTTTTACACACTTTTTTTTTTTTTATCTCTCTATGTCAGGAGTTCGAGAGATACAATGTATCTCTCGTCTCCATTCATAGACAAGGGGGCCGGGCTGCACAGTGATTGATCACTGTGATAGCCAATCAGAGGCTATCACAGCGATCCCGTGACCCGGAATCGGGAGTCCCGGGTACCAATCATTAGAACGGGACCCGGGGCTCTCAGTGACACCACGGTCTTGGTGCTGGGAGCGCGCCGAGCGACGCGCTCCCAGCACAAAGACAGGTACGCAAATATGCGGCCCCACGGAAAAAAGCCCAGGTCCGTGAGGCCGCATATTTGTGTTACGTCGGCATCAAGGGGTTAAGGGAGGCACTTAGAAGTGCAGGCGCTTGCCTGAATGGTTTTCAGTACTGGCTGGAGTAACACTTAGCTCACACCGAATGCGGCTTTGATATCGTGCTACTTCAGCACAATTTCAAAGCTGGCGATCAATGCAACTTCATGTGCGGCTTGCCGGCATCTTTGCAACTTCATGCACAGATGTCAATGCAAGTCGCAGGTGAAATCGCGCAAAAAATAGTGTAGGAACCTTTTTCAAAATCAGTGAAAGTCAGAGTGGCACCTATTTGAATGGTACCATAGGCACAAATAGGGTTCGACTTTGAACTGTCAGATCTCATGACAAACCACATTGCTGTGAACAGGGGTTCAAAGTCGTTGCAAATCAGAGTTGCAGTGATTTGAACAGTTCCATAGCCGACAATAGGGTGCGACTTGTCATGCAACTTTGATCTGTCAAGTCGCATGACAAGTAAAACCGGTGTGAAGCTGGGCTTAAAGTATTTTTCAGCTGCCATGATGGTGTTCTAAAAAAAAAAAATAATAAGGCGGGGATTATTAGTGTGAAGGGGATGTCTTTACATCACCATAATTCACTATTTTTTTGTGTTTAGGGGGGTAGCTGCACCACATAGTGGGGAATATGTGGATGCTGGAGTGAAGACCTCATTGGGAGGATAATCTAAAAGCTGTGCAGAAAGCTCCACATAACAAATTTGAATCCAAAGAAATAATCTGATCCTTTTTTTCTGCAGAAAATTGTGGTGGGAGATGCTTCAGAAACAGCCCTCCTGAAATTCTCTGAGGTCTTAACAGGAGATGTGATGAAGATTCGAAATGATAACAGGAAGTTGTCTGAGATTCCTTTCAATTCCACCAACAAGTTTCAGGTATATGGAGTTGAAGTGATTCTACTGTCTCCACAAGTAGGTCTATGATCACATGAAGTAAACGGTATGTGGTTGTGTTTACAGCTTTCTGTACATGAGACGGATGATCCCAATGATAAGAGGCTTCTGCTGGTCATGAAAGGTGCTCCAGAAAGAATCTTAGACCGATGTTCCACCATTATGATTGGTGGTAAGGAGCTCCCATTGGATGAAACCATGAAAGATTCCTTCCAGACAGCTTACATGGAGCTCGGAGGTCTCGGAGAGAGAGTCTTGGGTGAGAACAATTTGCAGCTTATACTAGATGACTTGTAGTATAGATTTACTTGTTGCTGTGTAATTGGAATTATTGGGCTGATTAGAAAAAAAAAACAAGCAATTGTATAAATGATCTGTAGGGTGCAGTCACTCATAGATCAGTAAAAGATAAATATGAATTTGTTGCACTTTGTAAGTCACTTGTTATCTCATTATATAACTCTTCTTTTCCCTGTACATAGCCATTCAGCTGCAGCTCATCTCTCTGCTGTTTTATACTTCCAGGTTTCTGCCATCTTTATCTCCCAGAAGATAAATACCCCCCATCCTATGAATTTGACACGGAATCCATGAACTTTCCAACCACAGATCTCTGCTTTGTTGGACTCCTCTCTATGATTGATCCACCTCGTTCTACAGTGCCAGATGCTGTTTCCAAGTGCCGGAGTGCTGGGATCAAGGTCTGCACTGTCTTAAATCAAGACACAATTTATTGTACAGAAAACTTTAAGATTTTTTGGACGACTGATTGTACTTTCCATTTCATTTAGGTTATAATGGTAACTGGTGACCACCCAATCACAGCAAAAGCTATAGCTAAAAGCGTTGGTATCATCTCAGCTGGAAGTGAAACTGTGGATGATATTGCCAACCGACTTAACATTCCTCTTGAAGAAGTTAACCCACGGTAAGAGGACAATCTGCTGTTACAGGTGGATGTTTGTGAAAGATCTTATACTGTGTCTACAAAATCCTGCTAATAACAGTGGCTGTTGCTGTAGAAGCAGACACGTATATGTGTGTGTATATCTATATAATTTTATATGTAATATCTTGGCACAGATATAAAGTTTGATAATAGTTTTGCCACTAACAAATATTAGAGTAAAGACTTTCTCATTTCCTTTCCTACAGTGATGCAAAAGCAGCCGTGGTGAATGGCACAGATCTGAAGGAAATGGATTCCGAAGACCTGGATGAAATCCTGACCAATCACTCAGAGATTGTGTTTGCTCGGACATCACCGCAGCAGAAGCTCATTATAGTGGAAGGATGTCAGAGGCAGGTCAGTGTGGCTCATTTCTGCAGGTCTCAGTGGAATTTATGTAGAAGCATCATTTCCATTTTTCTTGCAATCTTTGCCCTGACTTGCCCCCTGTTTTTTTCAAGTAATTGTTAAGTAAAATATAAACATTGCTCTTAGTGCACACCCATGAACCTAAACAAGCAAACCGCAGCACTCACCAATATTGGAATACAAAATGTGTAGATAGCACAGTTTTAGTGTGAAAAGCGTTAGCCTCTACCCTCCCCTGCTTGAACATCTGAGTATTCTTTGGATTGATCAAATAAAGGTGTCTTTGGATCTATTATCGGGAGTATGGCATTCGGATTTCTTCTGTCTCGCATATCACAGCTACGACTGGGCGAGCACCCCAATACATAGAGATCTTGCCATATGTGCCGGCTCACCTTTGAACAGCGTTCATGCTTGTAGGTCATCAGTTTAGAGTCACCCAGCAGCTCTGACGCTAGAATAATTGCTGAAAGATCCCTGATGTCTCAGCTGAATCTAATGCAGTACAAAGTGAAAGGTGGGGCCTGAAAGTGATGTTTTACACAGCATTTTGGGTCATCAAGAAGAAAGGAGGGAGAGTGGGTGGATATTTGCTCAGCTTCTTCCCCTCTACCGTGCAGCACCTGCTATGCCAATTCTGGGTGCGTGGAGCAAAAACATGGTGGGGGCTCGATATGAAGGTATTGCCCTCATTGGGCCTAATCTGAACAACTTTACAGTTTTCCTTTGCATCAGACAAGAACCAGTTGCTGTTATGGCCAACATTCAGCAAATGCTCCACAGTGTCATTGTTTGAGATAACAAAAACTTCCTCAGGTTCCAATGGTATCACAACAATGATGTCAGCAATGAAGTCATAGAGTAATGAATGAGAGTACATGTTTTTGGTAAGAGCCCTTCTCCTGCTGTAACAATTTATGGACTGAGAAGGACAGCCAAAGAAAGTGAAAAGAACTCAGATCTGATGCATGTGAATTTGTGGAAAATAATTTCTACGTAGATGACGGACTCAAAACTTTGCCTACAGAAGAAGGAGAAGCGATTGACCTTCTCAAGAGAACTCAGGATATGCTTGATATAGCCAACCTCAGGCTTCACAAAATTGTCTCTAACAGTGTGAAGGTATTGAAAGCCTTTCCCTGTGATGACTATGCTGTTAGTGTAACTGGATTCGATCTAGGAAAGGATGTTCCCCTTACGCAACATAGCCCCAGATTGCTTTGGGATGTCAAAAAATACATGGTCACATTTCAAGTTTCAACATGTGACATGCCCTTAATCAGGGGCGGACTGACAACTCCTAGGGCCCCCGGGCAATAGGGGATCATGTGTCCTTGCCCAAACTCAAAAAAGCCTATGAAAAAGGTACCAGGGGCATCTCATGGGGCCCCCTACTGACCCCGGGCCCTCGGGCAGTGCCCAAGTTTCCAAATGGTCAGTCCGCCCCTACCCTTAATAAAATCAGGAGTTTTGTCTGCTGTGAACAGCATCTATGATCCTCTGGGTTTCATAGCACCTTTTACCATTCAGGGTAAGATACTTCTATGATGGCTTACATCTGAACACACAGATTGGGATACCCCATTCCCTAGAGAGAAACAACAAAGGGAATCAAGAAAGGAGTCCCTGAAAGCACTAGAACAATTTCAGACACCACGCGTTTACATTTCTGCATCCCTATCAAATGCCATCAGAAGAGTTTTCTCTGCTGCTTCCATTGAAAGAATAGCTGCTACCTCAAACTTATATATCCAAGAGACAAAGTAAGGGTGGATTTTGTGCTTGGTAAGGCCAAGCTGACCCCAAAACAGCACATACCATTCCAAGGCTTAAATTCTGTGCAACCGTGTTAGCCATTTAAATTGCTTAGCTTAAATAACTTTGAAGTAGACTTTTACAAAGACAGCAAGATAGTGTTGGGATACATACACAACCAACCCAAACAGTTCTATAGGTATGGCACTAGCCGAGGAGAATGCATTGGAAGGTTCTCCAATCTTGTTCAATGGCACTATGGGCCTACAGTCCTCAACCCAGCTGATAGTGGCACCTGTGTATTTCATGGTCATTCTAATTTCTTTAACAACGACTCCATCACAATTCCCCTCTGCGGAACTTGATTCAAAGGGAGGTAAGAAGGACTGGTGAATGTTCCTGCCTTCCCCTCTGAAGATAGATTCATGGACTTCTGACATCTTACAGACACCAGTAATGACTTTGCAAGTAAAAACTCTTTTCCAGGAACACCTGATTATGAAGTACTGTAAAACCTGCAATGTTTGGAATTGACTCTTAGTTGGTTAATATTTGAAATATTAGATTTAAACGGGGGGTATCCTGTTACACATGCATTGTCTGTTTGTTTGCCTTTAATAATGTAGTCCCTACCTCACTCGGTCAGTAATGGATGCTAGGGGTAGTTAGTCTCTTCCTTCTTCATGCTATGGCCTCCATTCACCGCATGTACTGTGTTCTGCTGGAGCTAGACACACTATGATTTTTTGTACCTTCCACTTTGAAAGCTTTATTGTAATAAAGTCCACACACGTGGCAGGGACCTCACTATCCATAGTACTACTGCAATCTAATGGAATATTTTGTGTTCCAGAACTGTGTCGTTGCTGTGACTGGTGATGGTGTGAATGATTCTCCAGCTCTGAAGAAGGCAGATATTGGCATTGCTATGGGAATTGCTGGCTCGGATGCTGCCAAAAAATGCTGCAGACATGATCTTATTGGATGATAATTTTGCCTCCATTGTTACTGGCGTGGAAGAAGGTGAGAAGACATATGAGCTAGAAATTCCCCATGGACCAAATGTTAAACTGGCCATTCATGGATTGAATTTCAGTTGATATTCGAGCTGTTGGTACCATGTAGCTCACCAAACTTTGGCTGGAAAATTGAAGGAGCCAGGTCAAAAGATGTCGGCCAAACAGTGACTGTAGCTAGTCAGATGTTTGGGTATTCAGACAGCCACAGGTGCCAGCAGTTTGAATACAGCAGCTGGCAGGGGAGATTCCCTTTCACTACACTGTTTGGCATGTATGAAGGAACCTATCTCATATCAGTTCAAGGGTTAAATAAGAAAAATCTATGCATGTATGGCTAGCTTTACATTAAAATACTCTCAGGTAGGTTGTACACATCTTAATCTCATCAGTGGGGATATGGTTTGCTACTTCACCATTCTCTGAACAATGAATACAAAACATAGAGCTGCAAACCACGGGGCAATAGTTTGTCAGCCTGTTACTAGTAAAGAGCTTCTTTCCTTCTTGTCTCAGGAAGTGTCTCAACAATGTTTTTGTTTTTTCATTTTACAGGGCGTATCATCTTTTGACAACATAAAAAAGTCGATTGGTTACACCTTGACCAAGAATATTGCTGAGCTGTGCCCATTTCTGATATACATTGTTGCCAACGTTCCGCTGCCTATCGGCACCATCACCATCCTGTTCATTGACCTGGGGACAGACATTGTAAGTATAAACCTCAATACCATAAGAGATGATGCAGACGTTGCATTTGGACTGAAGTATTGCTTTCTATTCAATTCACTTGTAACATTACAGCCCATGGAAGTTGAAGTATCCCCTAAAGTATACTGTATGTCATTTTCTAGCCATGCACCAACTCATGCCTTGCCCTACGTAATACTGTCTAAATACAAGAGTCATGCGGATTCTTCTTTGAATCTCTGTTTTTCTTCCAGTTGCAGCATGACACCTTTCCTTTGTGCAGGAGATTCCTGTAATTATGGCCACTCACTGTGTACAGCAAAGTGTTGATGTCACTGCTGTGCTTATATTGTAACATTTGGGTTTGTAAGGCATTTTGGCGCATACAAAGTGGATTTATATTTTTTGTGGCTACCGCTATATCATTGGCCTTAAAGTACAAGCAAATAATATAAATATATATATTGACATCTAAACCTTTCATACTTCCACAGATTCCATCTATTTCATTTGCCTATGAGAAAGCAGAGAGGGACATTATGAACAGAAAGCCACGTAGGAAGAATGTGGACAGATTGGTGAATAAGGAGCTGGCTCTATACGCCTATTTTCAGATTGGTATGTATATCTATATGCCTACCTGCAATACAGAATAAAGCAGGCAGTGTCACCAGAGCTCAGCTAGCCGAAACAGGAAACATTGGCATAGTCTGGAACAATGTCGGACTGTTCCTGTTTTTTTTCTAGTCTGTGCCATTACAATTCAAACTGGCAATTTGGCTGCTGCTGGCTCATGCACTAGTTTTATTTATGACAGTTTTGTAGAAATAAGCCCTATCCTCTCAAGTAGAAAATACTGGAAATATAAGTGCAGTTTCCTCTTCTTTGTACCATGCTCTTACGCCTTGATTTTATTTACAGGGATGATCCAGTCTGTTGGAGGTTTTCTGACTTATTTCACAGTCTTTGCTGAACAGGGCTTTCTGCCATACACAATTCTTGGAATACGTGTTAAGTGGGAAGATCCAGCTATTCAGGAATTACAAGACAGCTATGGACAAGAATGGGTAAGTTATCACAGAGGAGTTTCTTAGGATGTGTAAAACATATGCAGAAAAAAACCCGCAATGGTAAGGCTACCAGACTGATCCCGGAATTTGTGGACAAGTTCAGCCTCTTTCCATCCATCACTTAGCAGATCCTAAGCTCCTAGCCGTCTATGAACTTACTGACCTGTATCAATAATAATCTGACAATCAGGGGGGTTACTGAGTTCTGAATTTCTTTTTCACCAGATACAATAGCTGATGCATAGTGAATACAACATATCTCCATGCTTAGGATTTAAAAAGAGGAACAGTGTTTATACTTTGTTCTAGGAAGCTCATATATATGTGTAAAATCGTGACATGTTGAATAGCAGCTACTGTATGAAACCAAGGTTTCTATCACCATACAACTCTCTGCAGCACACACCAGCTATATATATATATGTCAAAGGACAGCATACACAACTTTGGCAGGCCATACACAGAGCTGATTTTCTTTTCTGCAACCATTTTAGCAGGGAAATTCCTCCCACCAAGCCATTTTTTTTGTCTTGGCAGGGGAAGCTTTCTCCACCGGAAAAGACAGTGGTTATTGCTAGTGGCTATACCGTTGCTAGCGGTAATTGTAGGTAAAATCTGGGAGGTTGGTTGTACCCCAAGTTGATTGAACAATAAACTTGGAAAGTCAGCCTGCCAATACATGATTTGAAACTCAGCCAGTTCCTGATGAATTGGCCGAGATCTGAACCGTCTATGGTCGGCCTAAGAGCTTTGCCATTATGCATTTCCTGTATCATTGCAGACCTTCTTCCACCTTTCCTCTGACCATGTGTGTCTCATATTATTGCAGACTTTCTTCCAGCGCCAATACATGGAGTGGACAGGATATACAGCTTTCTTTGTGACCATTGTTGCAGTGCAACTGGCAGATCTTATCATCAGAAAGACCCGAAGAAACTCTCTCTTCCAGCAGGGCTTTTTTGGGTAAGTCCAAGGTCAAATAAAATGATAAAGAGTGAGCATTGTTGTCACTATTAAAAACAGACTAGTCTTCACAGTCATATGACAGTCTCAGACGAATGAGCTATGGCTGTATGGAGCTCTATATATCACTTACAGATAAAGATTTGGGCAAACGATTGCAAAATTAGCAGTGTGACCAAGCAGTGGGAAAAGTGAATAGAATTCTAGGGTGTATCAGTAGAGGGATCCCCACGAGGAGGTCCTGATTATCCTATGTAGAACCCACTTAGATACTGTGTTTGGTTCCAGAGACCTCCCTTCCAAAAATATATCAAGATAGAACACTTTCAGAGACAGGCAACACAAATGTTGAGCGGTCTGGGGGATAAAACAGATCAGGAGAGATTTCAGGAACTTCATCTGTACAGTCTGGAAGAAAGAAGGGAAATGGGAGATATTGAGTGAAACCTTTAAATACATTAAGGGTGGAAATAATGTGCAGGAGGGCAGTATTTTCAATATAAAGCCAACATGAAGAATATGGAATATGTCCTAAACCTAGCAGGTGGAATGTTCAAAATTAATCTTGGAAAGTATTATTTTGCTGACTGAATAGTTGATGCTTGGCATAGACTTCCAGCAGAGGTAGTGAGTCAGTCAGTGGATTCAAACATGCTTGGAATAAACATAGATTTATACTCTCTATAACAAAAATGTTTAAAAGAAAACAACAAAATAGAGCCAGTGGTCCATCAAGTCTGCCCAATTTTTTTTAGTGTGCTAACACTTTGTCTATGTATTTGAGTGCAACATCTGTAATCTGGGTGAACACCTCTTAATGATCAATTTTTTTTTCTACTACTGCAGCAACAAATTTCTACTGCTGGGCCTATTGTCACAAATCATCATAGCATTGTTCCTGTCCTACTGCCCTGGGATGGCATATGGCTTGAAGTTTGTCCCTCTGAGGTGAGATGATATTTTGAGCCCTTTCTTGTTAGATCTCTGCAAGTGCACCTTGATGGAAGTGGCAAATTCATATGACTGTCATGTGAGACATGTCTGCACAATCTTTCTTCAAAAGAAAGTTGGTTTTAATTAGCTATCTGGTAGCAGCCACAATCCACACAATTTAGTTTCTATTCCTCTTCTTCCCAAAACCAGTCTCCCCTTGTCATGAGCCCTTTGGAATGCCAGCACTGTCTGTAATAAACTCACCTCTGTCCATGACCTTTTTATTGCTAACCCCTTTAATCTACTTGCAGTTACTGGAAGCTGGCTTCATGAATCTGACTGTGCTTCCACTTCCCTCTCTCATGGTTTTCTTTCACTCTGAAATTCCACAATCGCTCAGTGACTTCAAAATCCCTGTTAAGTTTAAAAGTAGCAGGACTATTAGTATTCTCAGTCCAGCTTCCTATTTTGACCTGAAGCAAGGAATATATGCTTCTATGCACTCTGATGGCAACGGCCCTTGACCTTGTGTTCTCCTACCTATTTACTCCGTGCAACCTCTCCATCAATCCTTTGTGAGAGACTGAAACTAAAGAGGTAGAAATCACAGAAAAACAGTCTTCCACCTCCTCCCTACAACCACCTAACAGTTACCCATAGAAACCTTTGCCACGTTAACCCTTCTCCTCTACATTTTACTAATGACCACAAAATCCCACCCCTGTCCTGCCTCAACCTAGCAAAGTCTGTTTAAAACAGTTCACGGTCATCCTCTCTGGACACACCCCTCACTACACACAGAGTCAGGCCCTGACTGCTACAACCTTGGCAAACAGACGACACCACAAGTAAAAAAAAAAATAAAATGTAGCCATGTTCTTGAGTGCCTGTGGCATAAGACTAAGGCTCAGAAAGACTGTCTCCACATTGCCAAGCAGACCCATTTTATCACTCTAATTAGCAACCTCTCCTCCAGTCTGTCAACTCTTCTCTACCTTTAACCCTCTACTTCACCCTTCACTCACTAACTGTTCAGGAGATCGCCAATCACCTAAAAAAGATTGACATAATTTGTGATGAGATCTCCACTGTACAGATATTTCCTCTACTTAACACTCCATACTCCCCCCTTATACCCTGCCCCATAGGTGAGGTTGCAAAACATTTTTTGTAATGCCCACATAATCACTACAGTCACCCTCTGGAAAAAAGGTTGAGAGAGTAGGCTAGAGCCAGTCAAGGCACCCTTGACCATCCTGAGGCACCCCTCCCCTCTAAAATGTAAAAACCTAAATTAATAGTTAACATATTGCAGC